AAATTTTTACCAGTGTTTGATAAGCAAAATTAAATCTGCCTACCTATAAAATGTTTATTGAAGTACAGTGGAACCTCAAATATCGAACTGCTCCCAACTCAACCAATTATATAAGTGTATTTTTGTAAGTGCTTTTATAAGTGTATTTTTGAGGGTCTGAAATTAACTAATCTAATTTACATTATTCCTGATGGGAATAAATTCGTTCGGTAACGGCACTCAAACAGCCTTCTGGAACGAAGAAAGTTCGATATTTGAGGTTCCACTGTAGTCTCAATATATTTCTCACACCCCAGACAATTTTTTCAATATCAATACTATTGAAGTGGCATTTAAGACCACATGAATTTTGGCAGCATTGACTATATTCAGTTGCTCAGCTGGGTTTTCACTAGATTTAATATTCTGTAAAATATCAGAGTGACGGTTTACAGCATTTTAGTTATTTCCTAAACATTTTTTTTTCTGTACCTGTGCCATAGTCTACTTGCTTTTCTTAACCTTCTGCAGTTTGTTTCTGTATTTGGTATTTGCAGTTTTCTTATTTTTAGTATTTCGTTTGTTTTTACTTTTAGATTTACCTGTTAGTCTTAACTTCACGTCTTGAATTTTACATAATTATTTTATAAAAACTGTAATTAAATTTTAACTGATAAACAGCATTCAACAATTGCTGTCATTGAGACATCGTATGACTAAGACCATCAATAGCAATTTTCCCCATTTCTCCTGTCACTTATGCTCTTTCTGTGTCCACCTGGGGCTCAAATTCCTTTGTTAAGATGGGGTATGTCACTGCCTAATCTTGGAGTTTTATGCCTTTGATACAGTTGCCCTTTCTGATATCATGTCTTCCTTGTTTATTAACATCTCCAACTCTTGCAGTGCATTAATTGGAATCCATCTTTCATTTCTTCCTTTTCCTCAGATGTTTCACATTTATTGTTAGCTTTCTTGCATCTTTACTAGAAACACTAGTAATATGTATTTTTTTTTTACACAAGGGTTTTAGTCATTCCAGTGTTTTGGACACTGAATTTGCACATTCTGCAGCTCAGAACTTGATAACCATCTGACAGCTCCCCCTGTTCTATCTGGCAAGGTTGCTGACAGCATTAATGATGTACATTGATGACCAACACTTTTTTTTATTTAAAAACCATAACTGGTTTTATAGCTAATCTCATGGTAGACTGTTCTTGCATGATTATGCATTGATCATGCCAGAAACTTATATTGTCATAAAGTGGATGGGTGCCCTACTCCACTGTGTGAAGCTTAACTGAGATCATTGTCACACATGTTTCTCTTTATCATTGTGTGCCAACTTTATTTTCAGACCTGTTTTATTCTTCAAGGGTGTCTTGATGTTAGTGAAGAGCCACTTTTTCCAAGGAATTAAAAGTTAATCTTCCCTTCCTTGTATCAAACCTGATTATTTCCCATTCTTTTAGTTCTATACAACCCTTTTGGGCTTAGTGCTTCCCCATAAATGTAATTCAGACCACTTTTCACATCCTACTGTATTTACTCAGTCTTTTTCTCCCCAAAAAATGCTGCCTTTAAAGCATGTGTCATCTCTGACTTTTTATCAGAAACTGCCTTGCTACATTGCCTTTTATTACTACATTTAAAAATTACACATGGTAACTAAATAAATGTATAAAGAAGACACATGTACCATGTTAGTTTATGAAGGAGTGACCCCTTTGGGTTTAGTGCTTAATCATATTATTTATTGATTTAAGAGTTGCTTCAGTCCAGTTTTTTTAAATATGAAAACATGCAGCATTACAGAGGCAAAAATTATGTATCTTTGAACTAATGCCATTATGAATTTCTGCCTTGTAAATTTAGGTTATGCCACAGTTTTGGTAAATACAGACATCATGTTCTGCTGGATCCCTGGACATGAAGTTTGGAGTAATGAACAGGTAGACTCAGTTGTTCAATTGGCTGTTCATGACTTCCCAATCTCATATAGGGGTCTTCCTTTTTGGACTATTTTTGTGTCTTCTCTCAACTTTGCAACTTTTGGCAAAGACAAGGTGGTCTGCATTGGACCACAATAAATTTCTATCTTTCAAACCACTTTTGTGTTTTGGGCCTTCTTCTCTTTGCTGTTGTGTTAGGGAATATCCCACCTATCTCTCTCTATCTTTGTCTCCCCTCCCCCCAAGCCCTCCTTTCTACATATCAGCCAAATACACCTTGCTCATGGATCCCTTTTGGACAAACAGCTAGCACTTATCTGTGAGAATTGCCAGGTAGCATTGTCAACTCTCCACATCTTAAAACCATGTCCAGTCCATTAATGGGCAAGCAGAATTCACTTAGGATGTCTTCACTGACCCAATGCATTTACCCTAACTGACCTTACTGAAAATCCCACCTCTGATGAAGGCTCTCTTTCTCTTTGACTTTTTAACATTAACTTATTGTGCCAACTTCAATTTTATTTTACCTTTGCACTCTTCATCGCCCCCACTAACACTTAACCTTTCACACTCCTGACTCCTTGTTCGTTTCTAACTTCTGCACATTCATCCTCTAGCACATCCCTCCTTGCAGCACTGTACAACGCTTGGTTCAATTATGTTATGTTATATTCTGCTTTGTAAAGTCTAAGTTCTCTGTGGAACAAAAATAAAACAGAACTAGGAGTATCTAAGCACTCTCAGAATCTTCAGTCTGTCACAAAAATTTGTATTGTTAGGCATAAACCTGCATAAGGATATGTTTGTGCTGTACATGTGCAACATGTAAAGCCCTTAATGTTCTTATTTATTTTAATGTAAAATATTCACTTTTTCTTTAAACTACAGTATTAATTTTTTTTTAACGCATCAGCCGTTTCCCACTGAGGCAGGGTGACCCAAAAAGAAAGAAAAAAACTTTCATCATTCAGTACTTTCACCATTTTCATCCACTTTTATCTATTTTTGAAGATGAACCATTACTTATGGTAAGCAAAATATTTCGAATAAAATTCCATACTTCGCATATGTCTTCTTTATACAATTACTATTTTTGTCTCCTCTCACAAGAAGTATCTTGATGCCAGCGAGAGGATCTTAATCTAAAGAACTGGACTTGCTCTTTCCTTCCTTAGATCAAACCTAAATGTCTTCTGTTCCCCAGACACTATATGACCCTTACAGATTTAAAACTTTCCCCTGATTAAAATAACTGAATTCTTGTCTTATCTTACTTTTTCCTAATTGTCCTTTGCACCTTACATCATCTGCTCTTCTTATGTGCATTTTCTTTTGCTTTTCAGCACTGGATAATCCTACTGGGTTTAGTGCACTTAGTGATTATTATTTTTATATTACTAATATGTTTTATCTCAATTTGTATCACTGAAAGTTGTCCTGACTGGTAACATCATTGACTGAGGTGGTCTTATACCAAAACTATTTCAAGATATTTCAGCTGCCTTCAAGAGTGAAATTAGTTTTTTAAGAGCATTATTAATATTTCTTATAGAATTAACATAGTAATTAAACTTTTCATCCATCCTTAAGAGGAATACTGTTTATTAGCTCCTCTGGTTAAAGTGATCTAATTTTTGTTTACTGTGTTAGGATTTGTTTAACATGTTTTCCTAGAAATCACCAGCATGGAACATACTTGAGCTGAATTAAGTATGATTTGCTCATAAATGCTGTGTAACCCATATGGGTTTAGCATTTTATATTTTGTTTTGTGAATATAGCAATACTGTAATGCACACAAATTCTCACTTACAGTACGAGGACTAGACATGTGTTACAGTAATAAGAGTTGTCCAAACATTAGTAACATTAGTTGAAAAAAAAAAATTAAGATTACACTTATGATAGCAACTTTGAGCATGTTTCATCTCTCAGCACTTTTAGTCTAGAGGCATGGATGAGAAAAATCTCACAATTTTCTCAGCTAGGTCAAGGCTGAGGTTTCATTTCAGGGCTTTTTCCAATAGTCATGGCTAAGAAGCAATTTTAATAGGACAAAACTATGTATCTAACTGTTGCATTAAATCATAAGTTTAGGTAGATTTTTTTTTTTTTACCACACTGGCCTTCTCCCACTGAGGTAAGGTGACCCTGAAAAAAAAAAACCTTTCACTATCACTCGCTCCATCAGTTTTGCTATAGGGATATTGGTACTATAGCTCAGATGCCCATCCAAACTGCAGTATACCCACCCAGCCTTCAGAGTGCAGGCACTATACTTCTCACTTCCAAGACCCAAGTCCGGCTAATTGGTTCCATAATTTTATTAGAGAAGTTTAGAGAATTAGAATTCAACGTATTTTAAAAGATATTTTTTTATGATATATTAATCTTTCACTGACAGTTTAAGAGTTCTATACAAGTTTAGCATTTTTTTCTTAATGGACATTTAACAATAATTTATTTTTTTTAAGCTTGTAGTACTTGTCAATTAAGTTTAGTAAGTTAACTCTTAAATTGTCCAAATGTAGATCTATGTTGATGTGCGTAGCGCTCTGAACGTAGATCTATGTTTGAGTTTACATGCTTTATATGAAAAAAACATAGATCTATGTTTGGAGTGCAACGACCGTCAATGTAGATCTATGTTTGGACAGTTTAAGGGTTAAAAAAATTATTTTTTTAACAATTCCTGTGTTCCAAATACCTTATAGTATACAAATATATATGCCTGAGACCACGATAATTCAAGAATAGCTTTCTGAATAAATAAATAATATACAAACTAAATATTAAAATAAATGAGAACATTCAGAGTTCCTGCATGTTGCACATGTACAATACAAACATTTCCTTATGTAAATGTATCCAAAAAACTGTAAATTTTCGTGAAAGTCTTGAGATGTTGAGTGTGCCTTTAATTCCCTGAAACTCTTTTGTTTTTATCCCATAGTAAATGTAATTTTACATTCCAGAAATTCAGAATGGCATGAATTCTAGGCTCCATAATTTTAGCCCTAGCATTTTCCTATTTCATTTAAAAAAAATTTCTCTTCCTTCCAGACACTAACCCAGGCCTTTAGCTTCCATGACACGGATCGCGATGGTGTCATCACAATCACCTATGAACAATTTCTTCACATGGTGTTTAGTCTCCGAGTGTAGGCAGTTTTAATTACTAATCTAGATACAGTATTGCATTCAACAAGTGAATCAATTTAATGAATTTTCTTGCAGTAAGAAGGTTGTTGCTCCATAAAATTTTAGTCACATTAAATTTTTTTTATTACAATTTGTATAAAATGTTAAAACTATAATGAAGGCAGTATTAATGTACTAATGAAGGCTAGGCAGATTATGTTAATTAGCTTTTATTTCATCTTAATTCTATGTTGAATATTGCAGGCCACATATGTCTATGGCATTATAGTGTAGCTTTGTTAATTATGGGGAATGCCATAGATATTCTGTTACTCAGATCCTCATACTATTGCTTTATATTTGAAGAATGCTTGATAATTTAAAGTAATGGTAGGTAGACTTAAAATATACAGTTTCCTTATGTTATATTAAATGTGAATGTTTGTGTTCATTAAATGCGTATGACAGCATGAATTGATGTGCTAGATTTAACACAATGCTAAAAAGATTTAGAAATTGGCATACATTTTTAACCCTTCTAATTAATAAGTAATCAACAAATGCTAGTTTTTCATGTTTGTATGTATGTGCTGTATAGTCACAAGGTGCTTCATTAATCATTTACAGTTACTGTTGCTAAAGAACCTTCTTCTGTACTTTCATTAGCATATTATATATGCACTCTTACATTTTTATTTGTGTTGAATAATTTTATATTTATTTTCACTTATACAAACAGTTATTACAGCAGGCAAAAAATCTGGAGCTGTTTAGCCTTGCATTTGAATACTGTATAATAAAGGAATGAAGTCTTACATTTTTAAATTGGGTTAAGTTTAACATGCATAATTATTTTGTAACAAACTTCCAATATTTCTAGAGGCCTTAAAAAAGTGAAATTTAGTTAAAAGTATCTTAATGGGGAATTCTCAATATTTATAATTTGTGCATAATTTTATTTAGTTACAGTTATGTTCCAAAATTTATATCATACACTACTTATTAACATTAAGGAATGTTGTGTTTCAGTAAGTATTTTAAAGCCAGCACTTAATCTGTGTCATGTTCAGGAACAAGGATGTAGACTTGATATTGCAATACTTCATTATCACATTGCAATTGAGTAACAGCACCAAGCCTTACTTTCAGACATTTATTGTATGAAATTCTTCTTTGGTACTGATTTAACTCATTTATAGTTTAATTGACTGTGTTGAAATCTTTTATCACTATTCAAGTAAATGCATCCTTGTTTAAGAAAAATTGATGTTCCCACTGGAGAATGTATATACAGTTATGTGCATGGGAGATTTTATATTTTTATATGTGTTAATGTATTCTGTAGATTTAAGGAACCTACCTTTAGAAGTAAAATGTTTTAACTGAACAAATGAATTTTCAAATCTTCCTAAATTTTAAAATATGTATACTATATATCCATGTACAGACAAAAAAATTACCTCTGTAAAAAAAAAAATTCTAAGTGCTTTTGTGCATTTATAAGCATCTTCAGAGGAATTATAAAGATAAAACTTAACACTGAAGAGGCTGAGAAGTGTTTTCTAAGCAAGGTGTTTAAATAATAGTCAGCAGCAGCAAACTTAAGTATATTAACTCAATAATAAATGGTATAGGAAAATACTGATTTGGCAAGAGTTGTAGGTAAGTGGAAAAAGCTGCCAAGTAGTATATACCTGATGCTAATACCATGTGGGAATGGTTGGGTGCAAGCAGGTCATGCCTAGCTCAGGCTAGTAGGCCTACTGCAGTGTTCTATTGCTGTAATTTTTTTTATGTTTGAAAGTAAGTGGTTCAAAATTTAAATATTATAAAGAATTCAAAAAAGGTAATGTTCAAAACATGGCATAATTTATGTATCATACATTTAGTAATTAATTAAAAAAAACAGTTAAGGAACTCTACATAATTAAATTATGGTGTACTACATCTGTACATTCAAAAGTTACTTTAGTTTTAATTGGAAATATCTTACAGACCTTCATTTATTAACTGGGTTCTGCCTAGTAAAGATTTTAATATACTACGTACATACTGTACGTTGAAGATTGAGACACTTATGCAACATATGGGAATCTTTATTTAGGAAACGTTTCACCACACAGTGGCTTCATCAGTCCAATACAAAGCAGAAAGGTGTAAGGAGAGAAGTTTGAGGTAATCAGTCCCTCAGACTGGAGTCGATGTGTTCAGTCCAATTTCACTTTCTACAAGATTGATGCACTGAACACATCGACTCCAGGCTGAGGGACTGATTACCTCAAACTACTACTATCTTTACACCTTTCTGCTTTGTATTGGACTGATGAAGCCACTGTGGCAAAACATTTCCTAAATAAAGATTCCCATATGTTGCATAAGTGTCTCAATCTTCAACTTTTCAGTTTTTAAAAACCATTCATCACAACCACATACTGTACGTCTCCATGGGGAAATAGAACAGAATTCTTCCTACGTAAGCCATGCGTGTCGTAAGAGGTGACTAAAATGCCAGGAGCAAGGGGCTAGTAACCCCTTCTCCTGTATACATTACTTAAGTTAAAAAGAGAAACTTTTGTATTTCTTTTCGGGCCACCCTGCTTCGATGGGATATGGCTGGTTTGTTGAAAGAAAGAAGACATACTGTATGTCAAATTTAAATTTTAAAGAACTTGTTCCTTCACACAGTTCTCTCAAGAGAGGTGCCTTAATGCTGATAAGGAGGTTCTTGATCCAGAGAACCAGACTTGTCCTCCCTTTCTTTGCATCAAACCTGATTTCCTACCATTCCTTGGATGCTATTTGACTCTTATAAAAGTATTCAAAGTGTTCAAGTGCTGGGTAAAATGTATGCCCATTATGGCATTTCTAAAGGGGTTAATTAAAAAGCAGTATAATCTGCTAATGACAAAAATAAGATGAAAGTGATTAGTTTTCATTTTATTCAAGCACTTTTGGTCTTCAAGAAAGTGATGCTGGTAAAGAGCTTGATGAAAATAACTGAAACTACTGGTACCCTCCCTTTCCTCACATCAAGTCTGACTTCCTCCCATTTTTCAAGGCTCTGTATGACCCATGAAATAAAATAAAAAATCAAACACTTCCTTACCAATCCAAATACTGTGCAAATGATTTACATACATGTGATATGCAATGGAATGTTTTAACAGACTATTCTTTTATATTAAACAAGGTTCTTTGATAAAAACAAGAACTACGTATTAAGAAAATAGAAGAAAGCCCAGATGGGTGTGTAAATATATATATGTGTGAACATGAATGTGTAGTATGACCTAAGTGTAAGTAGAGGTAGAAAGATATACCTGTTATCTTGTGTGTTTATGAGACAAAAAAAAAAGACACCAGCAATCCTACCATTATATAAAACAATTAAAGGTTTCTGTTTTACAATCACTTGGGAAGATGGCAGTACCTCCCTAGGTGGTTGCGGTCTACCAACCTACTACCTAGGACATGAATATATATTAATAATAATAATGATAAGGTAATTTGTAGGTAAATCTGTACAGTTACCACTATCACTACCACTCTATGAGTAACAAAGGCAGACAGTCACAAACTATGAGCAGCCGCATCCTGCTGGTAGATGAACGTGTCTAGTACTGGCGATTTCCAATGGATGTACGAAAACAGGAAAAATTTCACCGAAAAATGTGGTCGAAAACTGAACTGTACGATAACCAGACTGGACGAAAACTAGGGTTCCACTGTACACATTTGTCATTATTTATTTGTAGCTACAAGAGTATATAACTATGCTTGTAGTGTTTCATTTTTATATACTATATTTTTTCAAAATTTCCATTGGTTGTAGCTTGTACTACATCCTTTTTAAATTTCTCCTGTGCTTCCATGTTCTTACAGTCAGTTTTACTTAGCAATACTGTATGTATGTGGGCCAGCAGTAATAGCCTGGTTGACCAGGAAAGCACCAGACACACCTGTAAGTAAATTTATTCAGGTACAGGTACACATCAATATAATTACATAAATTATCATACATAGCAGCATATGTGTAGATTACCTAGGATAACCCAAAAGAGTCAAAGTTACTATTTCCATTGGGTCCTAGGCCTGGGCTTTGGGGGTAGGAAAACTCTTGAGACCAATCAGAGGTACTGTATTATTATTATAATCATGACCTAGCACTAAAGAAAGGTACTGTAATCATTTGTTGCTGTATGGCCCTTATGGGTTGAGCACTTACATTAATAATAATCTTATTACTAACCTAATCTGTAATTATGAACATGACTAGCATTCACACGGCGAGGGCCTGGGTTCGATTCCCAGCCAGAGTAGAAACATTGGACGTGTTTCTTTCACCTGTTGTCTATGTTCCCCATCAGTAAAATGGGTACTTGGGTGTTAGTCGACTGGTGTGGGTCGCATCCTGGGACACTGACCTAATTTGCCCAAAATGTGGAGCATAACAAGGGACTTTCTATATGGTAATATGTCATTGTTGTCAGCTAGGACTGTATACCATGTACATGTACTTGTAGTAAATAAAGATATATATTCGCCATTCACCAGGCTTTGATCTTCGTCCTTGCTCACCTTCCTCCTCAGCCTGTGGTTCTCTTTTCTGATTCCCAATCTTCCCTGACACTTGCGTGTTCTGCCTGTCCACGGTCCTTCCGTTTCCTCGTCTGACATACGCAGTTTCTTCTGCACTTCTTGCAAAGTCCAGGTTGGAGCATCTCCCGTCACTGGGTGCCAGCTCACGTTGCCATCCGGGGCAACGAAATGTTTGATCAAGCGGCCTCCCTCGCACACACACTCCCAACCGTTACCCCTCTTGCACTTGGCGGCAGTTATTTCACCAGGACTGTTTGGAGGGAAATTCGCTGTTTATGGCAGGGGGATCTGACACGCTCCCTGTCTTCTTCGGCATTGAGATCAGTCCGATCTTTCAACGGCCCCTGCCCTTGGGCTCGCCATTCCAATCGCTCAGTGGATGTTGCACTGACTTGCCTCTGGGTTGGGCATTCAAGACTGGCAGCTCATCTGTAACACCTTCGGATGACGGACTCTCCGTACTGCCCGTGGTGTCCCTCTCAACCTGAGATGGTGGAGCATTTCTTACTGTGGAAAATTACATTTATCTGTATGTATCATTATGTACATAACAATAAATGAACATAGTTAATTATTATTTATCAGTTAGACAAGTAGGAATTTGGGACACCTAGGTCGCAAAAAATGTCCCCCTTCGATACCTACAACTGTCATATTCACAAGTTGTTCTGGACCTATTAATTAAATGAAATATACATACATCAGGAATGTTGGTAAATATATAAATTTGTGGACTGTATATTAAAAATAATAAATGGTTATATATATACACAATTACATAACAGAAGGAAAATATATCTTAATATCACTCACCAATTTGACTGGAGATTAATGTGTATCATACTCACAAAACCTCACTCTAACTAAATCTATGAAAATAATGCTGGCCAGAATTATACACAAATCTCGAGAGCTTATCTGAGGTTCCTGGAGCTGTCTTGGCCAGTCGTCTAATACTCAAGTTATGCAGGAATGCATATCCACCAATTTCGCCTCCTATTTGAGAGGTGTCAGCACAATTTTAACCTCTAGAGCACGAAAAATTCTTCCCCATTCACCAACGTTTCTAATACAAAATCAAACAAAATGGCGACTGACCTCCCCAGCCGCAGGTTTTCCATTTTCGATAACATACTTCTTTTAAAAATACAATATAGGGCATCTATTTACCTATAAATTACCGTATTTCCGGAAAATATGTACAGTATTTTCCACACTTACCATAGTAACCCTGTTACCACTGCACGGACACTCTTCCGTGCGCCTGGCGCACGTTCATGGGTGTAGTCTTTGACCCTGCATCTGGGGAGGGGTTTGACCCTCCAGACCGTCAGGAGATCCTGGCCTGTACCTGCGCATTCTTGCTGGCTTCAGGGTGCATTAGATACATATAATACGCACAGGCATTAGTCAACCGCCTTCCACTTTAGTCAACCCCTCAAGGAAGGTTCCTTGACGTTGGTGAGGGGGCTCTTGATCTAAGAAATTGGATCTGTGCTCCGGTTCCCTGAACTAAGCCGGAATACCTTCCACCCCCACATGCTCTGTATAATCCTACGGGTTTAGCGCTCCCCCCATGATTATAATAATCCACTTTAGTCGAGGTTCCTTTTCCGGGCACTGGAGGGCAGGCTCGATCCGGTGTAGGCTGTCAGTGGCCCTATAAACCCCATCAACACTAACAAAATGACTCATACAGGTTTTGTGTTTTTTAGCAAACAAAAAAAAATAATATTTACTGGTAATATATTATTTAGAACTCCGGCAGTCTCCCACCGAGGAAGGGTGGCCCCAAAAATAAGAAACTTTCGCTGTCATTCATGCAATCGCTTATTTTTTAATAATGCTCATTTAAAAAATGCTTTGAAAATCGTTGGCTGTTCTTTAATAATAATAATAATAATAATAATAATAATAATAATAATAATAATAATAATAATAATAATAATAACAATAATAATAATAATAATAATAATAATAATAATAATAATAATATCTTTATTTACTACACGTACAAGATATACAGGCCTAGCTGACATCAATGACATACTACTATATAGAAAGCCCCTTTGTTATGCAGAGTATTTCGGGCAAATTAGGTCAGTTTTGTCCCAGGATGCGACCCACACCAGTCGACTAACACCCAGGTACCTATTTTGCTGACAGCTGAACATGACAACCGGTGTAAGGAAACACGTCCGATGTTTCCACTCCCTCGCCGGGAATCGAATAATAATAAGAACCCAACTAATGTTGCCAGGATAGCTCACAAAATAGTTCCTGATGAAAACAGGAAAATTGGTCCACAAACAAAACGAGACTGGGGAGAAATAATAATACTAATTTCAAAATACTTTGAAAATTTCGTACTTTTCATGTAAGTTCCTACTTGCTTTTTTCTATATATGAAACGATTTGACAATAATATATAAAACATATGGTCACACACACCAACCGCGAAATTCGAGGAATTACTGAATAAATTAATCAAGAGAAACCTTGAAAACAGAACTCTAAGTTTTTATTTTTTCTCTCATTGTATCTTAGAAAGCTGTCTACTCCAGTCAGCACTGTATGACCCTTGTCGGTTTAGCGCTTAGTTTTGATTGTAACTATAATAATAGTGTGTACTGCAGTGTTCCTCATTGTTACCTTCTAATATAATACACTAAGATAAACATTAAGTTAGTTGGTCCTAGGACACTGCAGGGGAAGGTGCTGCTAACGTCGAGCTTCGTTTTTTTTTTCTTTTCTCGGCCCTTTTCTTAATCGGAAACTCCATCTAGGTGATGTTGAAGAGTTCCTTTCTATATTAAAGAGTGTTTTCTGCAAATCAAGTGTTAGCCAGGCCTCCCTTGTTAAAAAAAATTATTAACGTTGCTAGGGAACTTTCAGCCAGCCGCCATATTGAACAAGGATTGTATATACTTGTGTTCTTGTAGACAGCTCTACTTGTATTATTTTCTATTTACCGATACGTAAAGTGAAAATGATGAAGTCCCTTCAAGGGGGTGCCTTGATGCCGGTAAAGAGCTCTGCATTCAACGTCTGACGTTCCATCTCGTAGGTGTGGGTTATTTGTGAATTGTTTCAACCACGATACTGTAATTTATTCTTCAGAATAATAATGATAGGCTAAAGTAATTGTGAATTATGTCATAGAAGTTGTAACTAGAAAATTGAAAAACAGATTATTCGCAATAGACCACTAAAGGGAAATTGCCTTGATGCCGGCGAGGAACTGTAGATCTAGAATTGGACACCCTTTCTTTCTTTGGATTAAACCTGAGTACCTCCCATTTCCCAGGCGCTAATATAATCCCAGTGGGTTTAGCCCTTTCCCGTGATTAAAATGAATTTACAGTAGAAAAAAGACTACAAAATTGAAAAATGCAGACTAAAGATCTTAACAAATTTAAGGTATGGTTGCATGCACCCCCAAGGGAGGTTCCTTGATGCTGGTAAGGGGTTCTTAATCTAGGGAATTGGATCTGTGCTCCAATTCCCTGAATGCCTTCCATTCCCCTATTCACGCGCTGTATAATCCATACGGGTTTAGCTCTTCCCTATGATAATGGGTGCAAGTGAATGCTACAAACAAACAAAAATGAATCATGGTGGCATTTAAGTAGATCTGTACATTTATTTTATTGATTTTCTCGAGTTTCTACAATCTTAGAATACACACCCCTCCAGAAAAGTGCCTTGACTCCGGTGAGGGGCTTCTTGAAAATGGACTGTATCATACCCCTCTTATGAGAAATCACGAAAGCACTTGGAATATTACCATTATTTTACATGTAAATGCCGAGCACTTGACCTAAGTGAAGTCAGATGCTGAAATAATTATGTCATTAGGTTTCCACTGGCCTTGTTAGATGTTGACAATGGGTCATGAGGCAATCATAGCCCACTTGAGGTTTTTGAATTCACACACACACACACAAACACACACACATAATTTTGGGATTGTCATGAACAGACTTAATGTGTTTAGTTTCTGTGGTAATTCATTTTTAACTTTTATTCTATATGTATTTTATTATTATTACATTCAAGGGGGAAGCGCTAAACCCGGAGGATTATACAGCGCCTGGGGGGGGGGGATGTGGAAGGCATTCAGGCTTAATTTGGGGAACTGGAGCACAGATCCAATTCCCTAAATCAAGAGCCCCTCACCAACATCAAGGAACCTTCCTTGAGGGGATTCTATATGTAACTGAGCATATTTTGCAAGGAATTTCACATACACCGGCTACATCAAGGGCAGTTCGTTTTTTTTTTAATAGGCTATGTTCTGTGGGAATATTTACTTATAGTTTTTGGGTATGATATTCTTCACGTTATTGCTCTCTTTTTTGAGAAGGAATTAGCAATTTAGTATATTTTTTTCTTTAATTTCTCTTATTTACTTTTTTATAAACTATTTTGCATATGCAAGTCTTGAATTATGAGGTGCTGGTTCCGTTTTCTTGTTCTAAATGTTGACTGTTTAGTAATGGGGGCCCAATACCAGTTGAGAGTAAAACATTAATCAACATGCAAATACCATACTATGTTCTGTGGCTTGACTCTTGGTATTGTATTACTTTCAAATTATTCTTTTAGGTTAGGAAATGCGTGATCCATTTTAAAGTTCTTAAATTGTTGTTTCCAAGGAAACATTTTTAGAATATTTACATTTTTGTTTTGATCCGCAGGATGGCTAGAGAGACCTGTCTACCGTATGGATTCCAACGTGGTAGAACAAATGATCTCTCGAACGTGCATGAGCGAGTCAAGGCACTGTACCTCACAGGGCAATTTTCTGACCTGACCATCCGCTTTCAGGGTAGGAAGGAAACCATCAAAGTAAGTTGATTAGGCTGTGTGTGATCTTTCTCAGTATTATCATATTTTGTTAAAAAAGCTTGTGAAAGTTGAAATTTCATGGATGAGAGAATAATAAGTATTTACAAATTTGTTGTAATTCAGCTAGGCTAACAAAAGATACATTCGTGTTCCCCCTCCCCAAAATCATAGAATATTCTTATCCTCTTCTGCGGTCAGTGATACACACGTTTAGCACTTTTATGGGAACATAGTAAGAAACCCCTTGACTTACCAGTGCCAAGAATCCATTCCATTTAAAAATATCAACGGGTCACATTGTATGATACTGATTGAAGCGTTTGTTCTATTCTTTCAGATTTAATACAGCGTAACAATGTACATACTTTGTAAAGAAAATATTTTAAAGTCATGGATAAATGCTCAGTAATAACCCACATGAGACAGGATCACAGGAGATTGATTGATTGATCTGTATACGTATTTAGACTCCCTTCTGGGATCCTCTTCAGTGAAGTCAAATGCAGGAATAATTATGGATAAATGATTTGATCGAAGGAATGAATACATTATGTACCTGATTGTTTTTTTTTTTGTGCGAGATGCGGCATTTTTACCTTTTGTTTTTGGAGAAGAGATAAAGGTAATAAAGATGTTTCCTGTGTGCCGAAAACGATAGTGGATAATGCGTTAGTGTAGTCCAAAATGATGTTTCATTCTTTACAACATTGTCTAGAAGATAACCTTATCAGGTGAGTATAGTTGTTTTCTTTGTTCATTTTATTTTTACAAGATAAATTACAAATTCGTTATTACGAATACCGAGTTTTCTTTTCAGGCTCATCGCTTAATTCTTGCAATGACCTCGCCTGTTTTTGAGGCTAAGCTGTTTGGCCACACAGCTGTGGGAGGAGAGCTTATTCTCACAGAGGACTCGCCTGAAACTTTCAGTTGGCTGATGGAGTATATGTATTTTGACCAAACACAGTTCCCCAGTACAAACATGGCCTTAGAAGTCAGTTATCTAGCATGCAAGTACGAGATGAATGTGCTGAAATATGTATGTTCAGAGGCAAGTCAACTTATTTGCATACTGCTGTTTTATGCTCATGTTAACCCTATTTTTTCTCATGTTTTAAGCTGTGTATCTCTTTCGATTAAACAAAAAGTTGATGTAATTTTAAATATGAGATTAAGGGTCAATACTCTGTTTCTATAGGATCCTCATTAAGGATGTTTTTTAATCCAAAACTAGTAACCTGAAGTGAAAGTTTAGAATATACTAAATACTGCTTGTGTTTTGACCAATATTCCTTCGATATACGTACTAATTTCTTTAGAATACACTAAACGCTGCTATCGTTTGACTAATAATCCTTTCATATACATACTAACTTCTATATAATTTCCCCATTCCTCAGAATTTAGTTTAGCTCTTTTTTTTTTCATTGGTACTCACCAGAGCTTCCACACATTTATTTTGTTTGTTACGTTATTTGCCTTTGGCCTCCCATGTTATGTGCCTTGATGCAGTCAAGGAACCTCTTGAACCATATATACCCAGGATGACTCGAGTATGGAACACATTCGTACAGCATAATGATGTCAACGAGATAAAGTCAGTTGATCAAATGAAAATGCTGGCCCACAGATGGCTCCACCTTCATCCTGTTTCCTACTCGTATGTCTCATAACAATAAAAATGCTTTCAAATGAGCTGATGTAGGTAACAGCTCTTAGCTTGCCAATAAAGTTAGGAATCCTTAACCTGTAAATAGCTTGTCAATAAAGTTAGCGATCCCTAACCTAACCTTGTCAAACCCTGTGTAAAAAAAAAAAAAAACGAACTGGAGTTATTTTTCCCATTCAGAGATCGAACTTGAATGCCTCCCATTTCCCAGGTGTTGTGTGCCCCTTAGGGGTTTGGGGCTTTCTTTCTGATTAAAAAAAATAATCATTAGATTCGAGATTTTGCAGTCACGTTACTTAAGTCAGCTGATGTACACCTGTCAGCCATATTGGATGTCACTCCGCGTGAGATTGCATTGATATACTATGCGATCAACTAATGATTTATAACATTAGGGGGTGAACGATATTTCTCCGTATACGGGAAACAATATGAAAGCCTTGACTTTGGGGCTGGGCAACAAGGCTACATCGATGACGACTACCTTGAGCTGTTAGGAAGAAAAAATGGCAGAAGCAGACCTTTTATATAATGCAGCGTTTCACCAACAAGTGGCTTTATCAAGTACCCGATAAATCCTCTTGAAGGTGAAACGTCGTATTTTATATAAATTCTACTTTTGCTGTACGTGTTTTTTTTTTCCAACACTTGTTGGCACGGCGCCTCATTCCATCTACCAGGAGTTGCATGATGTCATCTCATAAGTAGATATAGCGTTTACCCTATAAGTAACTATTCACCCTTCTGTCAACTTGTGTAAACGTTTGTCTCTCCATATATTGTTCGCCTTAAGCTACACTTACACCCAACTGATGTGAAAGTTTAACGCCCCATATGTGGGTGATATATGATAGGGCATATATGATCCACCTTAATGTACACTTACAACCAACTGATGTGATAATTTGACTTCTCATATTCACGTACACTCAACTAACTCGTGACGCTGTGATGACAGAATAATCGTAGACTTATTTAACGAATGAAATATCACCTTTTAACAGAATTTATTAAAATCCATATTAAATGCGCGCTACGCAGACGGTTGTATTCTATTATTATTATTATTTAGTAGTAGTAGTATTAATTCATAGGAAAGTACGTTTTCGTGCTTATAAATTAAGGTTTGATAATGGTTAATATGTTAAGAAAATTTAATCGAAACCCCATAGGAGTCAAATAGTACCTGATGAATGAGAGGTAATCAAGCTTGATCCGAAGAAAAGAAAGATAGCTCTAAATTTTTGAATGAAGTCCTTCATCTCATTCCCCTTGAATGGATTATAGATATAAAACAAAGGTAACATGATGACTGACCAGTATCTCAGTTAAGGAATCTTCTTCCGAGGAAATGGAGTTATCCTCCCTTTCCTTGGATCGAATTTTATTACCTACCATTCCCCAGCGTTATTGACGTCTTTGGGTTTAGCGCTTACCTGTGTGTAATATATTAAAAATAGGGGTTAACCTGTAGGTTTTTTTTTTTTTACCATAGCGGCCGTCTCCCAGCAAGGCATGTTGTGGGGTCCTTCCTTATATTAAGTCACAGCTGCGAGATGGATGAATAAAACGCTATCATGCCAGTCTAACCATTCTGAATTAATCATATACCCGTAACAAAGTATCCTAGATGCTGGTGAGGAGCTCTTAATCCAAGGAATTGAGCTTGTTCTCCCCTTCCTTGTATTCACCCTGATTGCTTCTCATTCCCTAGCGCTATATGACTCCGGGTTCAGCGCTTCCCCATAAATATAATTATAATAATATTTTGTTTTTCAACACGTCGGCCGTCTCCCACTGAGGCAGGGTGACCCAAAAAGAAAAATAAACACTTTAACCATCATTCACACATAATCATTGTCTTTGCAGAGGTGTTCAGATACGACAGTTTAGATGTCACTCTTGACAGCCAGTATTCCAAACCCCTCTAAAGTTCAGGCATTGTACTTCCCACCTCCAGGACTAAATCCGGCTAACCGGTTTCCCTGAATCCCTTCACATAATATTACCCTGCTCACACTCCAACAGCTTGTCAGGTACCAAAATCCATTCGTCTCCATTCACTCCTATCTAACTCGCTTATATATACCTGCTGTACGTCCAAGCCCCTTGCACACAAAACTTCTTTTACCCCCCCTCCATCCTTCCCGAGGACGACCCCTATCCCTCCTCACCACTACAAATTTATACACCCTCCATATCATCCTGTTTCGTTCCATGCTCTAAATGACCAAACCACCCTAACAACCCCTCTTCAGCCCTCGGAATAATATTTTTAGTAACTCCACACCACCTAATTTCCACACTACGAATTCTCTGCATAATATTTACACCACACATTACCCTTAGACACGACATCTTCATATTATTATGATAATGATATTATGACAATAATATTAATCTTATTTATTCAGCAGTACATTATTCTTATAGTTGATCAAAAAATATTTTAATATTTTCTTAACATTTTCGGTCATTCATGTTTAGGGCTTAGTAATGATTATAATAATGATAATAATTCAATCATTCATTAGTTTATACACTATTATACTTCATAATGATGGGCGATATGTTGTTTACGCGTGTAGTTAACTGTAATGTTATGGATTTTATTGGACATTAGTGTGATATCTTACATTTTCCATGTTTCCAATAACAACTGCGCGATATTTCAATATACAGAACATTATACACTCATCACTTTTAAATCCGGTTTATACCTAGTTGAACAATCAACCTTTCGAACCTGAATTTCATACAGGATTTTAAGCTTCTAGCTAAAGAGTGACCAAAGCATAGTGAAAGCACAATGAATGACTTTTTTTTATTTTCTACTTAGTTACAGTATTTGACCAGTGCTGAAGAATGACCAAGGCATAGTAAGACCATAATAATTTTCTGTTTATTAACAGTACCTGAAGAGAGTCTTGAGTGATACCAACTATCTTATGGTTTACAATGCTGCTGTGCATTTGGACAATCCTGATCTTATCAACAAATGTTCCAAGGTAATTTAATACCTTAGCGGTTTTTATAGGTAATAAATAGCTTTGTTTACATTTTTCGATGCGCTGTATTGGTTCTTGTAATTATGTTCAAGTGTTTTCCTTAATTAAGAATGGAAGAGTAGGTATGCTGACCCATATTGTCTACATGTTCTATTTACTGTGTATTTCATAATTTTGCACATGTGTCTGTATTTGAATATGCATACAGAATTGCAGATGTCTAATATTTTACTATTGGAGTTGTCACTTTATTCCAATAAATTATCAAGATATACCGGTAAACACCAGTTTGCCACTGTTTTACCAGAAAATGTATGAGACTTCTGGGGATGTGTTTTCAACTCAGCGTATTACCCAGTTGAGTCGATGGGCATTGCAACACCTTTTGGAGCAGCCTTTCATAAACATTGATGAGGTTGTAGTCTTTTCTGCTGTTTTGTCATGGTAAGTGTCTTCGGGAAGGAAAAAAGCTTTTCTAATAACTTGGTGTTTGGCAGGAAAACATAGCTTTTAAATTATTTTCACACATACAGAAAGAGAGAGCATATGAAGTAATAAGGAAAGTGCAGATTCATATGCATGCTATTTAATTTGTAGGTTTATCATAGTTTCTCAGACTGCCACCTATGCTCTCCTATTTTCCTGGTCTGAAAATTTCACTTAAATTTCATTTTTAATTTTGTCTAGTTGATATGCCTTCAAGTTGCATTTCATTCAGTACTGACACAAATAATTATGCTACATTTTATACCATAACTAATTTTTCTTGTGACTGACTTTGCTTTTATTGAATCTTCTTGCTTGCTAAGGCACGTTTCATAATTTCCACATATTCCTCTTTGTTAAATCACTAAAGAGATAACTGTTTTCAATAATTGTTTACTAACAAGCATTCAGAATTCTTTTGTGAAAGTTTCAGGCATTCTTTCCAAAGTTTGAAACAGATATTTGTAGTATGTATTTAATACTACACCATAATAAAGGAGAAAAGTACCGTAGATATTGCAAATTTTGTTTAACAGAGGTTGACAAACTAGGAAAATTATCACAGCTATGTTATTAAAAGGTGATTTTTGCAAATTATTTTGTTTTGACGGGGACCAACATCAGCTAGGAAATATATCATTATATTGATAGATTCTTGAAAATTATTTGTTTAAAACAGGGGTCAACATCAGCTAGGAAAAATATAATTATAGTGAAAAATTATTTTTGCAATTTTTTATATAACAGGGGGCGACATCAGCTAGGACTTCGGAATACCGGATGTTCCAAGCGAATTTCAGGGGGAAATCAAAGATTTCTCCCTATCTTCGGTTTTGACATGTCTACTGATGAATTTGTGGAAAATGAGCCCCAAAACGGAATTTTCAGCCCAGAAAAATATGCGCCATTTTTTCGCCACAAAAAGAAAAAGGGCCCCCCTGACCCAAAAAGCCGGGCCCAATAAAGGGGAAAAAAGGGGAAACAAAAGGTTAAGTTTTAAATACAGAATAGTGCAATATAAAGGATATTATATATATATTATTATATATTATATTTATTTATAAATATATATATTTTTTATTTAAGAATTTCAGGAAATATTTTAGCACATTTCTATATAATTCATTCTGTGCTAGATATTTATTTATGAGTCCTATTTCCTCCAAGGCCTTAGCCATTTTATATAACAGATTATGAAAGTCAAATATATGGGCTGTTATAATTTATATGAGTACATTTATAATATTTTTGGTTTTCAGAAACATTATTGTTTTGGTAATTTTTCTGTATTTCGTATAGATCTATTTGTAGATATGTTTTCTGTCGATAATAAGCTATTGTAATTTTTCGTAGATGGTGACCTAATGGCTTAATATTTCATGTATGTGGTGATATATTGATATAGAATGCTGCCTGCAGATTGATTTATTAGTACATGTTTCGTGCATATTATTTTCAGCTAATTCAGTGCATATTAGGAAGAAAAGGGTAACCTTTTAAATACAAAAATATGTAAATGTAAAGAACTAAGCATTACGGATAAATTTTGTCAGTATGACATAAGTTGGTCGTTCATGCTAATTATTTATGAGCTCTGTACTTTCTACTTTGTTTTAGAAGAGGTTATTAAAGTTATTGGCATATGTGTGTAATTTAATTTTTATCCCTAAGCTTTTGTAATACTAATTTTAGAACATATTGAAATGTTTCCTATAGATGATCTATTGGTACTCAATGTTTCCAGTAGATGATGAAGTGAGAAATAATGTTTCCTATAGAAGATAATTTGTTGGAACATATTCCTTGAAAGGGGTGGGTATGCTGACGTAGGTGAAGGACTCTTTGGTCAAAAGCCTTGGAGTTACCCATACATACTCTTGGATCGAATCTGATCTCCCGTTTCCTATCACTATATGAGCCCTATGAGTAACGCTCCTTATGAATTTAATAATAATAATAGTACATATGTTTAAATCTGAAGCATATATGTGAACAGTATTTAGATAAAGGTAGGGAAGTTTTTATTGCATTTATGGATTTAGAAAAGGCATATGATAGAGTGGATAGAGGAGCAATGTGGCAGATGTTGCAAGTATATGGAATAGGTGGTAAGTTATTAAATGCTGTAAAGAGTTTTTATGAGGATAGTGAGGCTCAGGTTAGGGTGTGTAGAAGAGAGGGAGACTACTTCCCGGTAAAAGTAGGTCTTAGACAGGGATGTGTAATGCCACCATGGTTGTTTAATATATTTATAGATGGGGTTGTAAAGGAAGTAAATGCTAGGGTGTTCGGGAGAGGGTGGGATTAAATTTTGGGGAATCAAATTCAAAATGGGAATTGACACAGTTACTTTTTGCTGATGATACTGTGCTTATGGGAGATTCTAAAGAAAAATTGCAAAGGTTAGTGGATGAGTTTGGGAATGTGTGTAAAGGTAGAAAGTTGAAAGTGAACATAGAAAAGAGTAAGGTGATGAGGGTGTCAAATGATTTAAAGAAAAATTGGATATCAAATTGGGGAGGAGTATGGAAGAAGTGAATGTTTTCAGATACTTGGGAGTTGACGTGTCGGCGGATGGATTTATGAAGGATGAGGTTAATCATAGAATTGATGAGGGAAAAAAGGTGAGTGGTGCATTGAGGTATATGTGGAGTCAAAAAACGTTATCTATGAAGGCAAAGAAGGGAATGTATGAAAGTATAGTAGTACCAACACTCTTATATGGGTGTGAAGCTTGGGTGGTAAATGCAGCAGCGAGGAGACGGTTGGAGGCAGTGGAGATGTCCTGTTTAAGGGCAATGTGTGGTGTAAATATTATGCAGAAAATTCGGAGTGTGGAAATTAGGAAAAGGTGTGGAGTTAATAAAAGTATTAGTCAGAGGGCAGAAGAGGGGTTGTTGAGGTGGTTTGGTCATTTAGAGAGAATGGATCAAAGTAGAATGACATGGAAAGCATATAAATCTATAGGGAAAGGAAGGCGGGGTAGGGGTCGTCCTCGAAAGGGTTGGAGAGAGGGGGTAAAGGAGGTTTTGTGGGCAAGGGGCTTGGACTTCCAGCAAGCGTGCGTGAGCGTGTTAGATAGGAGTGAATGGAGACGAATGGTACTTGGGACCTGACGATCTGTTGGAGTGTGAGCAGGGTAATATTTAGTGAAGGGATTCAGGGAAACCGGTTATTTTCATATAGTCGGACTTGAGTCCTGGAAATGGGAAGTACAATGCCTGCACTTTAAAGGAGGGGTTTGGGATATTGGCAGTTTGGAGGGATATGTTGTGTATCTTTATATGTGTATGCTTCTAAACTGTTGTATTCTGAGCACCTCTGCAAAAACAGTGATAATGTGCGAGTGTGGTGAAAGTGTTGAATGATGATGAAAGTATTTTCTTTTTGGGGATTTTCTTTTTTGGGTCACCCTGCCTCGGTGGGAGACGGCCGACTTGTTGAAAAAAAAAATTTTTAAATCTTATAAATTAAGAAGTGATGTATTTCTGATCTGGCATACAAAAATAGTCAAACTGTGTTGGAACAAGATTGACATGGACGGTAAAATTAGGAAAAAATCAGAGGATTTAGATATTAGGTTGATATTATGCTGTCATGGTACAATAAAGGGAGACGCTTAATAGGAATGATGAAAGGAGTAACTTGATCATGGATATTAAGAAAGCACTGATGGGTTTCAGAGTATGTGACATGAAATTATTTATTAAACACTTTAAAAATGTATGTGCTTTCAAAATCCAGTGCGGTCAACCAGGTGAAGGCTAGACACCTGGTTGACGAACGCGGTCAACCACTGAAGGTTCAGCCCTGTCATACCCTCAAAGAGTATTTGATAAAGATATTAAACTAACTTGATAAGGCCGAGTCCTCCTGATGGAAAGGAAAAGAGAAAAATCAATAATAACATAAATGACCCTTGTGGCTTTGCGCTTCTTTTTTATTATAATAATAACATAAATGACTCAGAGCTAACATGTACACAGTTAAGATATGAATAATATCGCGGTGTCGCGCCAATGTTCCGGGCACGTGGCTCTGAATCGTGGTTTGGAAGCTGAGCCGTTGTTGATGTCGGGAGGGGGATCACTGGTGGACGTGACTTGTGACACCTGAAACAGTGACCCCAGGTACTGGGATCCTCTGACCCCAGGTACTGGGATCCTCTGACCCCAGGCACTGGGATCCTCTGACCCCAGGCACTGGGATCCTCTGACCCCAGGCACTGGGATCCTCTGACCCCCCAGACACTGGGATCCTCTGACCCCCCAGGCACTGGGATCCTCTGACCCCCAGGCACTGGGATCCTCTGACCCCCAGGCACTGGGATCCTCTGACCCCCAGGCACTGGGATCCTCTGACCCCCAGGCACTGGGATCCTCTGACCCCCAGGCACTGGGATCCTCTGACCCCAGGCACTGGGATCCTCTGACCCCAGGCACTGGAATCCTCTGACCCCCCAGACACTGGGATCCTCTGACCCCCCAGGCACTGGGATCCTCTGACCCCCAGGCACTGGGATCCTCTGACCCCCAGGCACTGGGATCCTCTGACCCCAGGCACTGGGATCCTCTGACCCCAGGCACTGGAATCCTCTGACCCCCCAGACACTGGGATCCTCTGACCCCCCAGGCACTGGGATCCTCTGACCCCCAGGCACTGGGATCCTCTGACCCCCAGGCACTGGGATCCTCTGACCCCCAGGCACTGGGATCCTCTGACCCCCAGGCACTGGGATCCTCTGACCCCAGGCACTGGGATCCTCTGACCCCAGGCACTGGGATCCTCTGACCCCAGGCACTGGGATCCTCTGACCCCAGGCACTGGGATCCTCTGACCCCAGGCACTGGGATCCTCTGACCCCAGGCACTGGGATCCTCTGACCCCAGGCACTGGGATCCTCTGACCCCAGGCACTGGGATCCTCTGACCCCAGGCACTGGGATCCTCTGACCCCAGGCACTGGGATCCTCTGACCCCAGGCACTGGGATCCTCTGACCCCAGGCACTGGGATCCTCTGACCCCAGCCACTGGGATCCTCTGACCCCAGGCACTGGGATCCTCTGACCCCAGGCACTGGGATCCTCTGGCAACCCGTCCGAAGCAGTAGAGTCACCAGTCGTGAACCACAACGATACTTTGGTGGGGTGACAACTGGAAAAAGGCTTTAGGAAGGTATGTAGCTGATTGCGTGTCAGCTACGAGTGGAAGGGGACCAGTTGAGGTGCAGATGCCAGAGTAAATGTGATCTATGCTAAAATCGTTCCTGCCCCTCTTATCTCGCCTGTGTCGGATGATCCGAGCCGACAATCAAGGCTCGGGTCATCCGACCCGAGCCTTGCTGAATCACATGACAGACGTACTGCCTTTAAAAGAAATGGTGAGGACAAATATGATTACGTACTCTACGTAAGTCCAAATTAGGTCAGGTTGAATTACCAGAATATAAACCTAAACAAGAGTGAAGCCCTTTAAACACGAGCTTCACAAAATAAATCATTAAACAGGAGTGGATTGGATACTTACAGACTTGGGAGGCGAAAGTCAAGTGACTGTCACCTGGTCGGAGGGACACACGTCAACTCCCACCGGGTGGAGAAAAGGGGGAGGGGGTGAGGGGAGTAGCGGAACGATGCACACACCTTTTAAAACAAGTATACCATCCGACAAACTGCCACCACCACTCATTCATACCTCCACTCCTATCTAATGAACTTTTCCCTCACAACCACCTGGTTAACGAACGCGGTCAACCACCTGGTAAACGAAAGCGGTCAACTGCCTGGTTGATGAACGTGGCCAACCACCTGGTTGACCATCTAATCACCCAAGTGCTAGACACCTACAGGCTAATTAGGTAAGATTTTCTTGAAGATTCCAATTTCTATGCAATTTTTAAGTAATCTCCCCTCCTCAAGGGAGGTGCTTTTATGCTAGATACAGCCCTTAATCCAAGGAAATGGACCTATCCTCCTATACTTCAATGCAGACATGTTTGCTTTACTTGGTTTTGTTTGCAAGAACATAAAATTTGTGGAAATGGTAAAGTAGAGGGATGTTTAAAAAGATTTGATACACAAGATTTACCTAAACCATGTCTGGTCAAATCCTTCCAGTGAATTGAAATTGGACATTTTTGAGTTTCTACTTTTAGAGCAATTTCTTGCAGTGTTAATAAATTTCAGACAAATTCACCAATACATGTATCCATATTACGATGTAACTGAGAACCTGATTATATACAAATGATTATGGACAAATGAAACATCCAAACCTACCGGAATACTAAATACTAAATTTCACAGATAAATTAAACATTATATGTACCTACGATATTGCACTCCGTATGAATGAATATTCTGCCTGATTTTAAATATATAAAAAGTGTTCGAGCCATCTTTTCCCTGATATACAATTAATAGGCAGAGAGGATTAAATAGTGTATGTAAGGTGTTGGATATAAAAAATCCATAATTGTGATGTAGAAACTTTTGAGTTAAGGGAAAAGTATGTTAAGTGAGGCTTGCAATGAAAGCGTAACGTGAAGACAACCAGCGTCATGGAAAGTGTGTAGTATCATATACCCTTCGTAAGTTGTCAACTTAGGTAACAGGGCCTGATGAATCCTGTAGCGTGCCATTCTGTATGACTCTTGTGGGTTTAGCGCTTAGTTATGATTAGAATAATTATATAATGTAGCATGCCACAGTAAAGGTATGTATATCTCAGAGTATATATACTGAAAGTTTACTTTAATGCCTATTTTAAGAATTCATGTATTTTGTCGGGTGGTGCAGGCAGTCTATAGCCTTTAAAACTGATAAACCATTATAAACATTCCATATATACTTTAAATTATATACGCCTTATCAAGATGTTTCCTAGGGCTGTGGGGCCTGACGATAAATGTTCTGCTTCCGTACTTATGTCCTTCAGCTTCAGATTTATTATTGGAAATTTTTGACTAGTCTGACTTTTATGACAAATGAAAATGATTTAGTGATTCATCTATAACTTCCTTGCTGCATGACCCATACATTTTAGTGTGTGTTTTGAATATATTACTATTACCACTTTGCTGAAGCTGATGCTATTCTACTATAACTATAACCATACTACTACTACGACGAATAATACTAATAATAATTTGTCTTTTTACTCATTATAACGCTGAATGACCTACACTGGTTTAATACTCGGAATATTATATCCTTGTTTAGTCGTCTTGTATCTCAAACACTTTAGAGTGTTTAATAATGAATGTGTAAACAAGAATTGAGTAGTAAACAGTGGCTATTTAAAAATGCCAAAGTAAAGAAATCGGCAATTATTGTCTTATTAATAATTAGTTACAACTGAAATTTAAAGAAAATTCATGTTAAAAATTCAAATTTTTATTAAATAATGATGAATTATCACAGTAAATTATAGGACAATGCAATTAGTTTGAAAAAATTTAACAGCTCAAACACCTGTTAAAGCTGATAAATTATAAACCGTGAAACTTCATACTATTTATAATACTCTGTATTATGTTAAAATTATATAATTGTTGTATATACTGAACAGTCTGTCTTATTAACTGGAAAGTCATAATACAAACAACTCAATATTCAAAATATTCCTCTTAATACGATACATGAAAGGAACGAATTGTGTAAGCAAGGCATCATAAAGATTCAAACCTGGGTTAGCCAAATATCATTTCTGCATATGTATCCCTGCACCATGATAGCATGTAAACTGAAACGAATATGTTTACTAAGTCTGTCGGTGATGATAGTCCCATTGTTCCCATAAATCGCATCTTGTGTAACGGGTGTAGAACTGCCATCTGGCTAACCAGAGATCGATATGACTTCTTGTTTACATTATTTTTCAATAAACAGTAAGTTTTGGAGCATGAATGTGATGGGAGAAGTAGGATATCACCAGTCCAAGGGCTTCGTGAGGGAAGGCTTGCACACCCACTGGTCAGACTGGCAGGTATCGAAGCAGCACTTCTCAGTGGATCGACATGAACTGTCATTGTGACATTTCTTGAACGTTCTACTAGATTTGGTTTGGAAGCACTCTGTAGGCAGCTCAGGGCAGGAACCAGCGTGAACTGTTCAACAACACCATTTAATTTTTAGGAAATACATATCTTTCACCGAATTATACCAAACTGTATAGGAAATTTGGATCTTAGCAGGAGAATAATGCTGTATCCTAAAATTCCATTTAAGCACATTTGCAATATAATTTATGAAAATCGCATATTTTAATACTGCACTTTGAATTGTTAAAGTACTATATGGACGTTATATTTCAATCTAACAAAAATAAAGTTAAGGTACTGACAGTCAAAGGTAAGTATTGAGTCTATCAAGTGTTTTTAATGTGAAACGTTATTAAGTTATATGGTGAGCGTTACTTACCTGGTCTGCTGCTGCTCACTTTGAGGATTAATTCCCTGACGCCAGACCCAGAAAGAGAGGCGTCGTGAGAGGCCGTAGGAGGGATGTAACCTTGACTGATGACACCCAGGAAAGACCCACTGCCGAATGATGTCTCTGAAGAGGAACCCTGAGAGCCCGATGATAACACATCAAGCGAACTTTGGCTGCCTGATGTAAAGCTTGTAAAACCTTCGCTGCTGGTGGTGGAATCATGGCTTCCAGTAACATCTGTAGCAGACACTTCGCTGGTAGATGCACCATGAATTGCAGATCCTTGGATTCCAGAGGATCCGTGGGTTGAAGATCCCAAGGTAGCAGAAGATCCTTGGCCTCCAGAGGCACCGTCAGATGTAGATCCAAAGCTGATTTCAACTCCCTGGATTCCAGAGGCTCCATGGGTTGAAGATCCAAAGCCAGTAGATCCAGGACCTCCAGAGGTGCCGTGAGGTGCTGATCCAAAGCCAACGTTAATTCCCTGGAGTCCAGAGTCTATGTGAGTTGAAGATCCAATACCAGCAGAAAATTCTTGACTTCCAGTAGCACCGTGAGATGCGGATCCAAAGCTTGCATCTACTTGAATTTCAGAGGCTCCGTGGGATGCAGAGTCAAAGCCAGCAGACCCTTGGCTTTCAGAGGCACCAAACCCAGCGTCAGATCCTTGACTTCCAGATGCACTGTGAGATGCAGATCCATATCCAGTGTCTGTGTCTTGGCTTACAGATATACTGTGGTCTGAAGATTCAAGGTCTGCAGAGGATTCTTGGCTTTCAGAGGTACCATGGGAAGCTATTTCAATCCCACTGTCAGATCCTTGGATTCCAGAGGTACCATGTGCTAAAGATTCAAAACCAGCAGAAGACTCTTGGCTTATAGAAGCTCCTTGAGCTGCAGATCCAACGCCAACAAAAGATCCTTGGCTTCCAGAAGTATCGTGGGTTGCAGATTCGATCTCGACCTCAGATCCTTGACTTCCAGAGGCACCATAAGTTGTAGATCCATGTCCAGTGATACTTTCCTGACTTCCAGAAATACCGTGATCTGCAGATCCTTGGCTTCCAGAGGCACTGTGAATTGCTGGCCCAAATCCGATGCCAGTTCCTTGGCTTCCAGAGGCAATATGTGTTGTTGCAGAGTCACCCTGTGCGGCAGATCCGAATAATGAGTCAGAAATGTCCTGGATGGAGGTTCCAAATGTAGTGTCAGTGGCGCCATGAGTAGCAGATTCATGTGAAGAATCAGAAGCACCATGCGTGGCTATTTTATAGCCAGTTCCTTGACTTCCAGAAGCATCGATGGCTGCAGATCCAAAAACAGCTGAAGATCCTTGACTTCCAGAAGCACCGTGGGCTGTAGACCCAAAATCAGATGAAGATCCTTGACTTCCAGAAGCACCGTGGGCTGCAGACCCAAAACCAGCTGAAGATCCTTGACTTCCAGAAGCACCGTGGGCGGCAGACCCAAAACCAGCTGAAGATCCTTGACTTCCAGAAGCACCGTGTGCTGCAGATCCAAAACCAGCTGAAGATCCTTGACTTTCAGAAGCATCGTGCGCTGCAGACCCAAAACCAGCTGAAGATCCTTGTCTTCCAGAAGAACCTTCAAATACGACGTTAAATCCAGCATCAGGTCCCTGAGCTTCAGAGATGGAACCATGACTGCCGGATCCAAATCCTGTAGTAGCGGATCCGTGAACCCCTAAGGCAGATTCGTGACTTCCGGATTCGAAGCCTGTAATGGATCCCTGGATCCCCGAAGTAGATCCGTGACTGCTTGATCCAAAGCCTGCAGTGGATTCTTGAACCCCTGAACCTCTGCCGTGACTTCCGGATTCGAAGCCTGTAGTTAATCCCTGAATTCCTGAAGTAGATCCATGACTGCCAAATTCGAAACCTGCATCGGATCCCTGAACCCCTAACGCAGAACCATGACTGCTAGATACAGAACCTGTTGAAGTCAACCCCCCTGAAGCAGTACCGCGACTGCCTGATCCGAAGCCTGTAGTGGATCCATGAGCCCCTAAGGAAGATCCATGACTGCTTGATCCGAAGGTTGTAGCGGATCCTTGAGCACCAGCGTGGGAACTCTGACTGTCGGACCCCAACCCAGCTCCGTGGAACCCGGAGAAGACGCCATTAGAAACACCAAGATTTTTCAGAAAGTGTCCTGCAGCATCTCCAGAGACGAACCTAAGCAACGTTGATATTGAAAATCATCTTATGTAAATGGTATGAAAAGGAAAGCAAGCATATGATATTTAATACCCGCAAATATAAAGAGATGAACATACAGACTGGATAATCTATAAGCTTGTACTAGAAGTAAAATTTATTCTAAATCTTTTATGTGATATCGGTTCAACTACATTTAAGCCCTGCTAAATGTGTATGACTTCTCAGATAGTTGTGTATACTAAAGTTTGAGTGCATGAGAGTAAAGTTTTATCTATCTTTAAAATGAAAAAGTTGCCACAGACTACAGAATAAAAATGAGGAAATTGTGAGTGTTAACTTACCCGGAGAAGGAGGAGGCAGCAGCGCTGTCTGCTGCCGAGGCCTCGTCGCTAGCGGAGGAAGAATTAAAGAAGGTACCAGCCGCAGAAGAAGCGAAGCTTGACTTAGAAGAGGAGGATCTCGAGGAAGAGGATGAGCTTGAGGAAGAGGAGCTGGCATGGAAGGTGGCTGCGTGTCCTTGGGGAAGCACTGGCAGTTTGTCGGAAAGCTTATGTGGCGGCCAGGCGCTAGTCACGCCTACCAACAGCAGAAGAACCACGCCCACACCACCCACTGTGAGAGATCATCATTAGTTCATGGACAACACTCACTCAGTGAATAGGTAACGCTCACTCACTGGGTGGACAACAAGGATTCAGTTATTAATTATTAATAATTTATGTTAAGCGCTAAATCCATGGGGATCATTCAGCGCATGACGTGGAGGCTTGATCCTCCGTCTGCTGAGCGCCAGACAGACGCACTTCCTATTTGTACTCACCTAGTTTACTTACTTAGTAGGTGGACAACCCGTAACTTAGTGGATAACTCTTACTCAGTGGGTGGACAACCCTAAATTAGTTGGTAGACAAAACACTACAGCAGAATTTTTTCAATGAGGTATGAGAAGGAATATTGTGCAACACACGAGTCTTCCACCTGCACTTTACAACAATTAAATTGAACGACTAGTGATCGCATTTTACATATCAATATACATGTTGCGAACGTCAAACAAATTTAGAATAAGAGGTTAAAATGGTGCAAGCAATAGACCGATTTTTAGCTATCATTATCTTTCAGAGAAACAAGCGCATATGTTTAGGTGATGACAATTTTTAGGGCATGATTAATTTTGGATCCAAATGGCATACTCCCAACAATAGTGAAGAAAAAGCACACGTTTTGCAACCAGCCTTTATTGGGATAATGTTTTGCTCTATATAGAGTTTAAACAAGTCATCACTTGATAAAACTCTTCAAAAAACGAAACATTGTCCTAATAAATTGGTTCTGCAGAGTGTCTTTTCTTCGTGATTATTCTTGTGTGCACTGTCATCATCAGCGTGGAATTCCACTATACAGATGTCTGTTAAGTGCTGTGCTCTTTAAACAGGGTTAAGTTTAATACTCCAGTAGATATTTGTAACGACCTAACTTACTTATGGAGACTGAAAGAGTGGGAATAGTCTGCCACGAGCGTCCCTTTGAGAGAAGAGCTGAGAGTGAACTGTGGCGATGATCACTCTGTTGACCTTTATATACCCGGCATTTGGATGACTGCTCCATGAGCGGGACTTTCCACACACTTCCTTGAATACTGCGGGCGAGCTAGGAACCTGTGAACACGTCATATAAAACTAGTGTTAATGTCCCTTCTTCCCATCGCTCTTTGTCCTAGTGGCTGGAAGGATTCCAGTGAAATTTCCAGGGAATTAATAGTTATTGTTGTATTTGAAGCACTGTATTACCCATAGGGGTTTAGCGCTTATTTTTTAATATAATAATTTTATTCAGCTTAAAATGACAGCAAATGTTCAATAACAATCCTTCTTCCTGAACGCATATTTACAGGACATGTTCTATACAAACCATACCACGGAAGGGGATAGAACCCGCGACCAGAGAGTCATAAAATTTGTAATCGTGTAAGTACGATTTCGTGAGACATGTTGACGGCTTTGGCTTTGAGGGGACTTGAGCTAGAGCTAGTCACGGCCCTCTGGCGGGAGATTCGTCTGTATAAACTTCCATTTGTGATCACAGTGGTGCCTATGCTAACCTTCCTATGGTGTATAAATATTCCTAGTTGGACGAATCTTATTGTAACCAGCTGGCCCAGTGGCTAACGCGTCGGTCTGGAGTTTTATGACTATTCTATGCAATATCGTAGGCATATCTAATGAAGTAAAAGGACACAAGTGCAACTAATGTAACATATTATTGTGGCAACGTTTCGCTCTCCAGGAGCTTTGTCAACGTTGCCACAATAAAATGTCACATTAGTTGCGCTTGTGTCCTTTTACTTTACATATTGTCGGTAATTCTACCAACATATATACAAATCTAATGAAACTAAACTCTATATCCTAACTTAGTCTAAACAAACTTTGTAAATTTTTAGGTTAGAATACGTTACGCTAGTAAACAAGTATAAATTATAGTAATATTGGTGGTCTATGAAGTAGTGTTGATATTGTGTTAAGTATCCAATCCCTCTGTTCGCATTTTCTTCACAATAAAATTTAGTGCCTGTCTAATATTCATTAGTTTCCTCGCATACCACTTGTCTGCTTATGTGGGGGGATACACATATGCTCACAATAAAAGACGCAACATTTAAATTTGTGAATTCAAACACTCTATATAACCCATACGGGTTTTACATTTTCCTGATTAAATTAAATGAGTTAAACGTATTAGACCGACAACTGAGCAAGGCTACTGTACAGGATGTACAAACGTAAGTAACCATTCTTACAGTATTCATTACCTTTGTAACTTGTGAGTTCATTACCTTTGTAACTTGTGAGTTCATTACCTTTGTAAATTGTGAATTCATTACCTCTGTAACTTGCTCAGCTATCAAAACTTTGAGGCCCAGTCCCTGGACCAATTATGTACCTCTGTAATCTTTTGACTACCGCCCACAGGATGGGTATGGGGTGCATAATAAACATATTAAACTAAACTAACTGTACTGGATCTCTAAATTCATACCCTCTATGGAAGATGCCGTGATGCTAACGGGCTCTTGATCCAAAGAACTAGAGTACCTTTCCCTTTTTTTTATCAAACCTAATTACCTCCCACTCCCCCAGACGCTGTATAGCTCCTGTGGGTTTAACGCTTACCAATAACTAAATTATAATCTAAACTTGCAGTATAATTTTACTCTTAAACTATAATGTATATTTATTAAGCCTTATTTCTAAATTAATAATTGTATGATGTATTATTATATTCTATCACCTTCGCGAAAAAAAACAATATGTTTCATAATTTCATATAGCGGTTTTTAGTCATTAAAAACTCACACAAGTAATTTTAATCTGATCCATGTCTGTTATGGAAGATTATTTTATATTCAACATAATAATATTTTATGGTACGCTTATTGCATAGCTTTTGGGTAGATATCTTCTCTATTGCAGCGTTGTGGTTAAAATGTTTGTTTTATGAAGATAGTTCCGTAGATCAGATGAAGTGCACATGGATCCTCAGACTGTTATCTCTCAACATCTCTTCTTCCTTCAAGGTGGCTGGCTGTCTTGATGCTGGTGAGGGGGCTCTTAATACAGTGAATTTTTTGTAGTTACCCTTCCCTTCCCCGGATCAAACCTAATTACCTCTCATTTTTCAAGAGCTTTATGACCTTTATTGGTTTAGCGCTTACCCCATCAACATAATAATACTTTTTAATGTATCTGAATATTGATACTTCCATTATCAAGCATTTCATTACAGTTCCTTCATCCATACGTCTCTCTTCCATTTTGACCTCTAATTTCTCATTCCTTTGGCTTTTATTTATTATCACGTAGTTTTTTCTTGGGTAATAAATTAATTTACTTAATTTCTATACCTTTTAAACTTATTACCAGCCTCTTCAGTTTTTCTTTCATCTTTACTTGAATCACTGTCCTCTTCAAATAACTGATAATTCATCAGAGTTCTTATCACTTACGACCACACTCTCCTTAACACTCAGGCATTCACTTCCCTTAACCTCGATTATAAATACATTAAACGACCATGGTGACATCACACATCCTTAAAAAAGACCTACTCTTAATTCAGAACATTCCCCTTCTTTCCGACACATCTTTGCTTGTGTCTCGCTCTCTTCATTTACACTGCACACGACTATAAACAACCTACCATCTATCGTATAGATTTTAAACACTTGGCACATACCTTTCGATCCATACTCTCAGATGTTTACCAAATTCATATACACAACAGCTCGTTTGTCTTATCTAATGGGCCCAATCTGTGAACCCATCACGTGTCTCTGTGATCTACCGCCCACAGGATGGGTAAGGGTGAATACTAAAATAATTAGATTAAGGAACTGCCTTATCGAACCACTGATAAAATTTATTTCATTGAAAACACTTGATTAACTTTTCACACACACCCACAACTACACCCCACACCACCCACATCCACACTCATACCGACCACTGACTCACCCACTAGCCCAGTAAAACACACACACACACACACATTAACACAATACATCAAGACACTAGAAAAGAACAGATATTCACATCTAGACTTGTTCCAGAACTAAGGGATAAGAATTATGAGGAGAAGTTTAAAGAAATGAATATGGTGGCTTTAAATAATAGATAGAATTGGGAAAACATGATTACGATGACCAAAACACTCTGAGTACTTGGTAGGGTGCACGGAGATAGGCTGCTCGTGAGTGAAAACAGAAACGCTAGAGTACAGATGAAAGTTAAGAACAGATGAGCTTTAGGGATGTCAGTGACTATTTTCTGCCTCATTGTGGTCAGGAAGTGGAATGTCCTGGATGAAGAAGTAGCTTTAAGGTTAGGTATAGTAAAGCTTTCTAGCTAAGAGGGCCCAAACCCGACACTAACCAGTTAAAAGACTCGACACCTGCGTCCACAAATAGGCTAGAACACAGATGAGACCTTACAACATAGAATCAATGTTTACCTTGAGCCGGTACGTCCCCGCCCGTGGGAAGGTAGTGGGCTATCTGAGTCATCATATATCTCAGTTAACAGAGGGGAGATATCAACGCACTTACCTAAAATAATCCTATCTTTACTTCATCTAGCAGTCTTAAGTGTCGTTGTCCTGTAGTTATAGACTGTACGATGCACTAAAAGCGAGATAGGGGTCTTTATTAATAGTTTATTAAATATACAAACTTCATGTTCTTGCTTAACAAATGATTTAGTCACTCAAAATCTCAAGTCTCCGTGTAAAAGACACCATGAGGAACAAGGATGTTTAACGGGTTTCTTTCACTTTAGAATCATCTATGTACGAACGAACTAATAGAGAGGATTAAGGCCGTAGGCGACGCCGTGCTCAGACAAACTGTGATCCCACAAAAACTCTCGACAGGAAACACTGCACCGCTAGACACCACTTGGGTTGAGAGACATTTACACAGTTCCTCATAGAATGACTGTCATTTCTATTTTTGGACATGAAGTGTGTTCCACGGATCATTAATGAATGATATGTTAGATGTCAAGAATGAAAAATATAACTAAATGAATAATTAAGTTTACTAATCTTTATCAGTACTTTACCAGTTTCGAAGGCCTCTCTACCCTGACAGCCCAGCCAGGCTTTCCTGTTGACAGCCTGGACAACCGGCCTCTGTCAGCGACCCGCAGGCTCATAGCCATCACAGCTCAGCTGATCAGACACTTGTAAAATTAATCTGTTCATCTTCGTGTAATCTTCAACCTCATTCTGGTAATATTTTTAATATCTACTGTTAATAATTTGAACTGTCGTTTTCTTAAGATTATAAGGCAATTAATCAACCTATGTATGTTATTTAGGTTAGGTCACTTGGAGGTTACCTGGAGTTGCTTCCGGAAGTCATCGTCCCTGTCGCCCGGTAACATATCAGGCCTGGCTGCTGGCTTGATCAATCTAGCTGTTAGTGCCTGCCACCCGCAGTCTAATGTATGTGCCACAACCCTGCTGATCAGGAATTGTTTTGAGGAATCTATTGAGTTCTATCTTGTAGACAGCTAGGGGTTTGTTGGTAGTCCCCTTTAAGCATGAAAGGAGGGTATACAAGAATCGTGGTCCCTTTATACTTACCAAATGCTCTCTCAGCGTATTCAGCGTCCCTGCTTTCATTGGATGTATCCTGCACTGTCTGCCAAGCCTCTTGTGTTCATAAGAGGAATTTCGGTGTGTAGGTACGGGACAAATCCATCCAGCATCTTCCATAACATAAAGCCAAGGGAACTACTGGAGCACAAAGAGAAAGCAAGAACCCACTTTGCGCATGTTAAAACAGTCACATGAACACTGTTACATTCCATTGTGTGTGTGTATATATATATATATATATATATATATATATATATATATATATATATATATATATATATATATATATATATATATATATATATATATATATTACAAACAAAATAAAATTGTCGTCATATTTAAAGTTATAAAAAAAAATTCAAAATTGCACGTATTTTCCAGAACAATAGGTGCCGGATCCACTGAGTAGGCAAAGTGGAAACATACCTCAATCTTGTCCTGATAAGGACTCTTACTGTTCGCAATATACATCCTATACTTTTACCTGTCTGAGGAGGGCCGGAGCTGGTGACCGATATATAATGTTTTCATTATCTTTTCCTTAAAGTGGGT